TGTATGTTGAGGTTTTCATATTAAGCATGTTATATGATAATGCGTGTCACATTGCATCATGTCGATAGACCGACATAGGACACCACCCTAAGAGCATGAAAATAATATTAATATAAATATCAAACGAGGATGTGTTATTTAATGTAACAAAGAGATGAGACGAGAGGGTTGTGTCAGACGAGATGATAAGATGGATTTAGAGAGACCTCATGCATATTATATGTTCATAAGCATAGAAATACTTCCCCTAGAGATGATGAGTGCGGACGCGCACAGTATGACACAATAGGGAGCATGACACAATATATTTATGAAATGTCCAAATTATGCAATCTCAAATTTTCAACTATATTTGAATAATAAATTTCATACTATATAATATTTTGAGTAAAAATTCTAAAATCTCTGGATAGACATGTTTAAATAAATATATTAACAAAATATTAAATTAACATTTATTTGGATGAATACGCATATATTCTCAATTAATTTTTCATAGAATTATTTTCATCTCTTTAAGTCATGTCGGACATGAATAAGATATCTATCGATATAAAAATAATTTTTTCCTTAATTTTTTTATAGGCGATTTTTATTAATTTATTTTCACGATACAAAAATCAGAAAAATAAATATTATATTATATTAGAATATAAAATTGATAAAAAAAATTAGTTTATTAACATTCATAACATTGTATTCAAATATATATTCATATAAGAATTTTATGGCTATCAAAAAAAATTAAAACATTCGAATTTTTAATCAACATAAAATTAAATAAATTTAAACAAATAACATAAAATTATAATTTAAAAAAAAAATCATTAATTCAATCCATTTAAATTAAGTGTTTAATGAACCTAAAATATTAAAAGCTAATGAGTTTAATTTTAATCGAAAATAATATTCTTTTTTGATAATTCTTAAAATAAAAACGAAATTGAAACTCTTATCTAAAGGAATAATTTATTCTTTCTAATGATTCTTCTGAAAAAAAAATTGAAATGTATTTCGAACATCATAAATATCGACCGACCTTCTCTATTTGGATTATTCAATTTCTTCCTAAATTTAGAGATGGGTCAAAATTAAACTTTTAATTTTGGGTAATAAATTAATGATAAATTTAAGAAAATTAGTATAAATTTAAAAAATTGGGAAATTAAAAATTTAGTTTTTGGGATAAAATTTAAAATATTTTAAAATAGCAGATTTCAAAGATGCGACTGTCTGTCCCTCACCAATGGCTAAAAGCGGAGTTTTTGAAACAGATTCGAAGTTGCAAATATTCTCTGTAATTTCGGGCGTTGTTTTGCCAATCCCATCTCTTCTTCGTAACTTTCCTATTTATATTCACCAATCCCCTTTACTTTCTCTTCACAACCATTTTCCTTTCTGCCCAATCCACCAACCATGGCGATTTCCACCACTTTCTGCTTCTCCATCGTCGTCTTTCTACCGCTGTTCCTATGTTTTTCCTCATCTTCATCGGCTTCTGATTCGTCCAGCTTTTCCATCATCGATGAAAACGCTAGACACCACTTGGATATCCAAATCGGATCCTCTCAGCGCTCCGATGAGGAGGTTGCGGCTCTGTACGAGTCGTGGTTGGTTCACAATGGAAAGGCTTACAACGCTCTTGGCGAGAAGGAGAGGCGATTTGAGATTTTCAAGGATAATCTCAGGTTCATTGATGAACATAACAGGGAATCGCGGAGTTATAAGGTTGGATTGAACCGTTTTGCCGATCTCTCCAACGAGGAGTATCGCGCCATGTTTCTTAGCGGTCGATTATCCCGAAAGAACCGCCTCTCCGCAACTAAGAGTCGTAGATATGCGATCGCGCTCGGCGATGATCTGCCGGATCATGTTGATTGGAGGAAGAAGGGCGCTGTTACGGATGTTAAAGATCAAGGACAGTGTGGTGAGTTAATTTTCCCCCCTTTCTTTGCACCATTTTTGTTGAACTGATCCGATGGAAATGATGATTGGATTACGTGTTTTCCTTTTGTCTTCTCATTTGGTCTTTGAGCTTTTGACTTTTGCAGGAAATTTGTTACGAGATCCATATTTATAGGAAACATTTGTCTAAAATAGATTCTTTAGATAACGCTTATAATAATTTGTATCTGTTAAAAACAGCTTGATTTGTTCTCTGATATCTGGTGCATGATCATCGATCACATCAGAAAACTCACTATAAGCTTTTCGAGGAAAACTTATTTTCCAAGAAACCTTTTGTCTCATAGGATTGTTTTATTACTAGCCTTTCTATTACAGATTTTCATGGATCATTAACGTAACTGGATTATGTTTTGAATGAAGGGAGCTGTTGGGCTTTCTCAACAGTTGCTGCAGTGGAAGGAATAAATCAAATCACCACCGGTGAATTGATCTCTCTGTCGGAGCAGGAGCTTGTAGACTGTGATAGATCATATAACATGGGGTGCAATGGTGGTCTTATGGATTATGCTTTCCAGTTCATCATTGACAATGGTGGAATTGACACCGAGGAAGATTACCCTTACAAGGGCAGAGATGGCACTTGCGATCCCATCCGGGTTCGTCTTGAACTGCTTTGTTTGATTCATTTTTTGTAACCAACATCCTAATTTGATTTTGTTGGCTGAACAGAAAAATGCTAAAGCTGTAACCATAGATGGATATGAAGATGTTCCTGAGAATGATGAGAGCTCCTTGAAAAAGGCTGTGGCTAATCAACCTGTTAGTGTTGCCATTGAAGCTGGCGGCAGGGCTTTCCAACTTTACCAATCGGTAATTTCTTTAACTTTGAACAACTTCCTCAATGTTGCTTCACAAATCTATGGTTTTGACATCTCTGACTTGGGAAATTTGATTTTGAGCATCATATTCTGTTATGTGTGGACTTGTTTGGAATGCCTTTTCAAGTGAAACCATTTTTAAGCACTTCGAATCTGTCTTTATGCATCATGCATGGTGTTGTCTCCTGTTTGGGTGTATTTTTTAAGTCCTACATCATTCAGGGCTCTGTGTGTGTGCTTGTGTGTGTGTTTTTTAAGAAGATCATAGTTCGATGTGGTGTGCGATTGTTTTGAAGACGATCTATGTTTATGCATCATTTAGGGTGTCTTCAACGGACTTTGTGGAACCGAACTGGATCATGGTGTTGTTGCTGTTGGATATGGCACAGAAGATGGAAAAGATTATTGGATTGTGAGGAATTCATGGGGTAAAAACTGGGGAGAGAATGGTTATATCAAGTTGGAGAGGAATGTAGGCAACATTACCACAGGCAAGTGTGGTATAGCCATAGAGGCTTCATACCCCACAAAGACAGGAAAGAACCCACCAAAACCTGCCCCTTCTCCGCCATCCCCTGTGAGTCCCCCGAATCAATGCGACGAATACTTCTCGTGCCAGGAAGGAACTACCTGTTGCTGTATCTATAAGTATGGAAGTACCTGCTTTGGTTGGGGATGCTGCCCGCTCGAGTCTGCAACCTGTTGCGACGACCATTACAGTTGCTGCCCCCATGAATACCCCATCTGTGACCTTGATGCAGGAACTTGCCTGAAGGTAAGTCAAATGACACAGTTTTGTAGGCAATGCTCATAATTGAATGTGTAAAACTCATCCAAGCACATGTTATTGCAGAGCAAAGGCAGCACGAGCGGAGTCGAACTGCTGAAGCGCGTTCCTGCTAAATATAACAGGGGCTGCGCTCAGAAGCTTGGCAAGATGTCCATTGGTGCTTGAGAGGTCTGAAATTGTTGTGAAAAGAGGACAGGAGGTGGTGTTGAGAGTACAGAAAGATGATGAGAAGCAAGTTGAAGCTTTTACATATACGTTTGCTCTTGTGGAGCTTTTCCTGTTTTTAAATTATTGAAGTTTGATTTTGTGTTATTACCGCTTCTGCTTTCAAACGTTTCATGATGTTTTTGTACATAAAGTTTCTTATGGTGAAAACTTGCAACAAACTTCATCTCTGATGCTTTGAATATAAATTGTATATTTATGTCAATCCTCTTCATGTGGTTGATATATGCTTTCAATCAAATTTGCATATTTAAACTTTTATTATTATTGTTATTATTTTTACTTCATCCATATTTGTAACTCGAACCCTTTGAACTTGATTGAAATTTGAAGCTCTAACCTTTTACCTCTCCATTCAGATTTCTCTAACAGTCTGATCAAATATTACACATATCAAGATTTGAATCTTTGACCTCTTGATCGAGATTTGAACGAGATTTGAATCTTTGACCTCTTGATCGAGATTTGAACAAGATTTGAATCTCTGACCTCTTGATCGAGAGTTGATCGAGATTTGAATCTCTAACCTAAACAATATTTGAATGATTTGAACGAGATTTGAATCTCTTGCCGGTTGATCGAGAGTTGAAAGAGATTTGAATATCTGATCTCCTGAAATTTGAATCCCTATGTGTCAATATGTATCAATATTTGGATCCTTGCCCTCTTGATAAGATTACGTGTCAATATTTGAATCTCTAATCTCTGATCTCGTGATCAAATTAAGTTGAATCTCTGATCTCATGATCAAATTACGTGTAGACTTAAAAGTTTCATTTCGTGATCAAAGTACGTGTAGACTTAAAAGTCGAGTTAAAATAAAAATTATATTATGTAAAATACAAAAAGATGAGAAATTTAAAAAAAAAAAAAAAAACAAATAGAGGAGGAAGGAAGAGAAAATGTTGGGACAAATTTGGAATCGAAACTGAAACATGATGGCATTTAAATCGTAACATAAACAAATAAATGCAAGAAAATGTAGTAGCTGAAGACCCTAAAAAAGAACGAAGCTATCCCACGGTTAAAATCATCAGTAATCTAATCCAACGGCCTTCATTTCATTATCACTCACATTCTCCTCAACCGTCCGATTCACCGAGTTTAGCCAACGCCAAATCGCCACCACACGATGCGTTGACTGGGGGACCATATCTTAAAATGAAATGACCCTTTAACCCATACCTTCAAAGCCACGGCGATTTTCAGTTTCACTGCACCAGCTCCCTCTTCCCTCCTCCCCCCCCCTCCCCTCCCACATTCGAAACCCTAAATCCACATCTCTCCTTGAAAATTTTGCACCTGATCACGCTGGGATTGGTCAGCTACCGGTGTTTTTCTGGGTTAGATTCCCGTTCTCTCTGCTGGATTCTAATAGGTTCATTTCAGGGTTTTACTTATTTACTCCCTCAGTGTTCTTAATTTATTGGATCTTGAGATGTTATTGCTTTAATCGATGCCTTCTTTCTTGCCCTGTTCTTTATTTATCTGTGAATTGTATTTTCAACTTTTTGTTTTTGTTCGCCTGTTTTGGGTTTCTTTTTGAATGAGGGTCTGTTGTGTAATGAATTCTTTCATAGGGAGTGTTATTGCTCTTCGATTATTTTATTGCTTGTTATGTATTTCTTTCTCTTTATTTGTTGAGGATCTTTCCTTTCGAACTATCCAAGATGATCATTTTGAGATGTACCCAATCATTGAGAACTCAAATGTTATAATTGTGCTTTATCCTGCAGTTCCTATATTTAGTTTCTTCTGAAGGGGTACTGCTTATGTGGGGTTCTTGACGCTATCTCCAGTGTTCATCTGGCATATCTCGACTCATATAATGGATCCAAAATCTACTGATTCCCCACCGTCACCTACTGTTCATTCCTCGGCTACTAAATTTCCAGAAGTACATCCTCAGGCTCCTGCTTCCTCTGGAATGGATAATGTGGCACGTGAGGCACCATCTAAGCTATCTTCTTCTGGCATAACTTCATGGGCTAAGAACTTGAAAATTTCTCAACCACAGTCAGCTTCACCAGATGCCACGACTGAAAATGCTGGGAAGTCAGCGTTTGCTCGTTTTACTAGTGGCTTTGGCTTGAATTTATCTCCAAAATCTGCTGCACCTAATGATTCCCCAGATGCCTCTTCTAAACCTGCCCAACCCAGTTTGGTTGGATCATTTACAAGAGGGTTGGTTGACTCTTCAAAGAGTGCTGTAAAGGCTGTTCAAGTTAAAGCGCGTCATGTTGTCTCCCAAAACAAGCGAAGATACCAGGTTTTTGAACCATACAATCAGCTTGTTTCTTATGTGTCCATATTATAAGTTTTTACCGCTAATGATATATGTACATGGTGTTTGTTTGTGCTATAAAAGGATTGAGGTTTACACTTTGTTCGGCAGATCCTAATTAGTTTAGAATCAGTTGAAGGCAACTTTTATGTTTCCAGTCTTTGTGGATAGGTGGTGTGGTTGCATAACGTTGTCTTTAGTTGCATCTTGGCATGTTTAATTTCTTGATGCAAGAAGAAAATACAATTTTTGGACCTCAAGCAGCAGTTATTACTGTTGGAATAAGACCAGCTGTTATATGAGTAATAGCATTTATCGAACCAGTATGTGTAATCTGCAGACATTTTAGTACGTACATTATGTCTCATTTTTCTGTTTTTTTGATTAGTTAATATGGGTAATGGAAAAACCAGATGTATGTTTGTTTGCCATCCCAAATTTGATATAATATGTGGAGATTACTATTCAGTGCTGGTTAAATTATTCCCTGCATCTTTTATGTGTTTGCTCTTATTTATTATGATTATATGGTTGCTCTTTTTCCAGGAAGGTGGATTTGATTTGGACATGACTTATATTACTGAAAATATCATTGCAATGGGCTTCCCTGCGGGTGACATGAGCTCAGGGTTTTTTGGATATGTTGAGGTTATTTGCTGTTACTCGTGTTGTATGGCTTGATTAGATTATTTTTTATATGAATGATATTATAATATTTTTGTGTTCCGGTGCAGGGTTTCTACAGAAACCATATGGAAGAAGTCATTAAGTTCTTTGAAACACATCACAAGGTATGGATGGATCTGTTCCTGCTATGCATTCACACCGTTTTTAATTTTCTCAAAGATACATATTTTTACTATTTAGCATTTGGATTCCATTGTCAAATGACCATCTTTCCATGGTTGACCTGCATTGCAGTTTTGTGCTTTCATTTTTCATGTTTTGTGTTCTCATTGTTATCTTCAGGGAAAATACAAAGTATACAATCTTTGTTCCGAGAGGCTATATGATGCGTCATTATTTGAAGGAAAGGTTCGTGATAATCTCTTATTATCATTGATATTCTGAGTTTTATAGGTGTTGGATAATGTCAAATTCTTTTAATAATGAAACTTTGTGAAGCATACAAGCTGTAAGTTTCAGTCTGTTGAAATGAAAACTACTAATTGGAGTTCCACTAGGGTTCTCAACCCTAAAAGCCTGTTCCCTTGATGGTAGAAACTATAATACTATGAATAAATTTGTGTTTTTTTTTTTTTTACTTTAACGAATATCATGTAGTTTATAAGCTGCATGCTGGTTCAGCCAGTTAGTTTTTTTTGTCCTACGTAAGATTTCGAGATCATTTTAATTGACACTTCAAGCATGGTTTTTCTTTAGATTATTTGTTTTTTTCCAGACTAGATAGGAGAAAGCTTGACATGTATACTATTTTTGGAACTTTCTTCAGGTGGCTTGTTTTCCTTTTGATGACCATAACTGTCCCCCGGTTCAACTGATAATATCATTTTGCCAAAGTGCGTATTCATGGTTGAAGGATGATATCGAAAATGTTGTGGTTGTGCATTGCAAGGCAGGAATGGCCCGGACAGGCTTGATGATTTCCAGTCTTCTTCTATTTCTGAAGGTTTGGATTTGTTGTCTATATCTGAAAATTTGAGGAAGTTATGAAAGATGTTCCTTAATTATGTTGTTTTTTCTTGATTTTCACCTGCCTACATCTTTGGCAGTTCTTTCCAACGGCTGAAGAATCTATTGAATACTACAACCAGAGAAGGTGTTTCGATGGCAAAGGCCTGGTCTTACCAAGTCAGATTGTAAGTGAAAATTACCTTTAGAGGATTTTGTATCTAGTCTTTTCATTTGTCAAAAGCTTCTAAAATAGTATCTACTTCTATCTTTCTAGAGGTATGTCAAATATTTCGAGCGTATTTTAACCTACTTCAATGGAGAAAATCCTCCTGGCCGCAGGTATTATTCTTTCCATATGACTCTAATATCATTCCTAGTTCTCAATTACTCGTATTCCCTTACAGTTATCATGTTCACTTTAAATTTTCTGCAGTTGTGTACTTAGAGGGTTTCGTCTCCACAGATGTCCATATTGGATCAGGCCTTCCATTACTGTATCTGACCATAATGGTATATCTCCTAATTCTCTGTTAGCCAAGGAGTTCTATTCCGATTATTAATTTATGGTGTAATGCTTGTCCTCAACTTTGTTTTCTTTTCTCTTATTTTATCTATCGTTGTCACTTTTATGTTTTTTTTTTATGATTTTAAGTCTCGTCTTTAAGCGTAGCTTGCAACAATGACCGGGCTTTAGAACATCTAGAGTCCTAATACTGCTAATAGTTTTCTCTAATTATTTCCCTAATTGGCAGGTGTTCTGTTCTCCACTAAAACACATCAAAGAACCAAGAATCTGTCGGTATGTATTTGATTATTTTATATAGTAGGGGGAACTTTGAATAACCTCCAGTTATGAATCTAGTTCATGATTATTGATAATATCGGTCAAAGATTTTCTAGGTCTATCTAGCATCCAAGTTCTATATTTCGAAATTGAGATATTCATAGAATTCCTACAACTTCTTGCTGCCTAACATTAGAAAAACATTGAAGACTACGATCAAAGAATAAGACCACTTAGTAGTGATCCTCGTAATGATGATGAAAATGGCAGTTAATAATATCTAATAATTTCACTAACGTAGTTTATATATCTTTAGCCAGAAGATTTTTGGTTTACTGCACCAAAGAAGGGGATAATGGTATTCGCCTTACCCGGGGAGCCTGGTCTAGCTGAGTTGTGCGGGGACTTCAAGGTTCATTTCCATGATCGCCAAGGAGATTTCTATTGGTATATGATCTAAAACCCAATCCAATGCTCTGCTTCTTTGGTTTCATTTAGTAGTGTGCAAGGAAATCAGTTGATTTTACCTGGTCTGTTTTATTTTCAGTTGGCTAAACACAACCATGACCGAAAATCGGAAAATGCTCTACACTAATGATCTTGATGGGTTCGACAAGGTGAGTTCCAAAGACTGTTGTCTCGTGTAATATGATGATCAAGTGGAACTCTATGCATTTAGAACCTTCTGTTTTCTTCTCCATTTCTGAACCTTCTTCCAATGTTACACTTCTTAGGAGTCGTTACTTGTTTAACATTCTGAAAGATCTCTATTTGGCTTTCTGTAGAGAAAACTGCCTTCCCCTGGATTTCAGGTCGAGGTTGTTCTAGTAGATATGTTGCCGAACGTGGACAATACGACCAAGAAATTAGATGAAAGCTCGGGCTCGAAATCTTCTGCAGTTGATGGGAGTGAAGTTTCTGATAACCAAAACAGAAAATCATTAACTAATGAGAAAGATGATGTATTTTCTGACAGTGAATCAGAAGGTGGTTCTGCAAAGAGCAAGGATGCAGCATCAGGTTCAGGGTCTGAAGCATCAGCTGTCAAGACGACATCTAAATCTCAAATGAGTGCGACTTCATCCGACGATGTTGCGAGTTTATCACATGCGACAAAGCAAGTTTCCCTGGGAGATGGTGGAGCTAAACAGGCTGCTCCAGCAGCCAGTGACCGAAAAGGTGATGGAGTCAAAATATCTGATTCCCTCTCAGAAATTCCAAATTCAGAAAGTGAATTCAAGGCAATGGCTGCTGATGCTTCTGTTTTCACATTTGGGGACGACGAAGACTACGAGAGTGAGTAAACGAGAAGGTGTTGTTGTTGGGTATTGTTCGCCCTGAGCCACGGCCATCCTCTGTACATAAAGACCGTGCTGCAGGTGAAGCTTTAAGATTCATTCATTTGGGTTGTAAATTCGAAGTCTCTCAGTATCTGGTTTATTATTGAATTGATATAGCATGAAACTGGAAAGCATGTGAAAAAAACAAAAGTTATTTTCTTTTGAAGATGATACTGTTCTATGAAGTTCAATAAAGCTCAGTGCAGAAGACTGCTTGACCTTGTTTGTTTCACTCTTCTTGGCTTGTAATTTGCTAAATCAGCTCGTCTTATCTTGTAGTGTGCTTTTGGCCATGTGGATCTCAGACGAACAAAATAAAGATTAATTGTTTTAGCTATTTGTTCTTTGCTAGGCAATTTTTATGGGTGATGTTCTATAAGGTATGTATACTAACTCTATGGCTATTTTGGAGATTTGAACTGAGCCTAGGAAGTTGACAAATTATGTAACTAACCATTTGGATTTTTAAGAAAGAAATACTTGTAGCAATCGACTTGGATACTGATATATGAACTATAACATGTTTCAAGGATTAATTATGCATGAGAAATGGGTTAGCTAAGCCTTGAATTATAATTTAATGATGGTTTAGTTCAACGCATGTTTTAAGACTTTCGCTAGGTAAAATTTGACTTTGATATATTTGAATGCTTTGTTAGGACTATGACATGTTAGGATTGACCCCACTTTGCTCGGTTTGCATGTATGATGTGTGGATATGTATGATTTATAATTTAATACCAATTTTGTCCCTAGAAGGATGTTAGGAGGTTGGAATACCTATGTATGCCCAGGTTAATGTATGGACCAGATACTATATGCCCTAGAGAATATGTATGACTTGACTTGTTAGGGAGCCTTAGCCTAATTGTCAACTCACCATGACTAGTGAGAGTCTACATAGCATATAAGAATGTGAAAACACCCCCTTAGGATTGAGACACATTAAAGGGTACGACTGAGGGAACTCCCTCAGTCATGCCTAGTGTGGACTCCCTACCCAAGGTTATATATTGTGAGCCCCTGTCATTTCTCTCTTGCTTGCTTATATAACGTCTCTTTCAAGAATCTCTCTTTCGAAAATTTCTCTCTGCCTTCATTTTCTAAAACCTTCTCTTAAAACCGAGGCCAGAGGCTCAAGCATACGTCGCTTGGCCGTAGGCGACGCAAGAACGAATTGGCTTAGCTCGCTTGTCGTTGGAAAGTGAGTGCCGCACAATTGCAAGTCCGCTGTTATCAAAAGTGTGATTGTGACAAGTGGTATCAAAAGTGCGATTGTGCACTATTCTAGCCTGGAATGGTGTAAAAATAAGGAGCATTATTAGATGCCATTAGGGGAGCGTTCGACTAGTGTTGAGATACTATCAAGAGAATTCTAGTTGCACCTAGTGGGGAGTCGAACTTGTATGGTTCTAGCCTAGAATGATATAGTAATAGGGAGCATTGTTATATTGTTATGTGCCATTATGGGAGCTTCCAACTAGTGCTTAGTAGTAGGCACGTACGAAGTTATAAGTAGATGGAGAGGTTACTCATCTCAAGTAACAACTCCTCCTTACCTGTTAGATAACCCTTGGGTCCCAAACATATGAGGGCATCCCAACTTATGCGCACGAACCACGATGACTTGATAAACCTTGGAAAGTAGGAAACTAGAGGCTAAGTGCATCCTGAAACGAAGGAGAAAGTATGACATATGAACCTTAAGAGTTTGAAAGGGCTTGAAAGGGCTATATATATAAATCTTAAGAGCCAGGCTAGATAAGTTAAGAAACATTGAATAAGAAAAAGTGAATGGAAGTTCGAGCTTTTGGGAGTCCCGTAGATCTATGATTATAGATGTCTACAAGCCACGAGACTTCGTGGAAGGGATCAGAGGGTTCAACAGAAAGCCAGAGGAGGAGAAAACGACGAGAGAGAACGTCGGAAACAACCGCGGGAAGGAGAGAGAGAGACGTCAAAAATCTCCTGCAGATCCGGGTCGGACTCAACCCGTAACCCACTCATCAGTTGTTGGTCTCGGCCCAGTGTCACTCTGCCAGCCCAACACTCGCCTCGGCCCAGGTCTGCAACCTCAGTCATCGACGAACCCTGTACGACCTGCAGCAGTCCAATAATCCGAGGCCCAGACTGAACATTCGACCCAATCCATCTGTGGGAGCCCATGCCTGTAGCGACTTGACCCGCGTGCCCGCGATCTGACCCGAAACCGCACCACGACCCGCGCCTCAACCCGAGAGTTAAGTTGTGACGTGCCTCACTCCTGCTATGCCATGTGTCAACCTGCAGCAAAAAGAAGCCCTCGGCTTCACAGCTTGGCTCAGCTCGGCTCTAATTCGGCTTATTCGGCTCGGGTTCTCAAATTTTAGCCCAATTTCCGACCCTCCCAAACTTGTTTTTGATCCTAATTAAGGTAACGGGTCGTTTTAATGCTGTATTTCACAAATGTCAATTGGAATGGTTATTAAATTGTGAAAAATTAACGAAAGGTGACGAATGATCTAATAGGAAACGAACCCCGACAACATTTGGAGTAGCTTTCAAGGAATGAGAGCTAGCGTTTATTAAATTAGGGAGAACGCCGTCTAAGGCCAACCAAGTAAGTGGCCTTTCTATAGGATAGGCTAAATACTTGTTTGTTGTATGATGACACGTGCCCAGTGGCACCGACTATGATGGATGTGTTTGGTATGCTTTGTAATTATGACTTATGATGTATGAGCTATATGATGATGTATGATGATGCTTTATGATGCTTCTTATGTATTTGACGATGTAGGATGACAATGCATGACGATGACGTGTTATGGTGATTATGATGTATTTGACGATGTATAATGATGATGTATGACAATAACGAAGCATGATGATAATCCCTTAGTATGACGTTGTTTTCATATTAATTTAAGATGCATATTATGAATGCTATATTGCATTCAGTTAAGAGATCAGCCTAGGGCACAACCCTGTAAAAGATTAATTATGATGTTAAGATTAATAGTAATACAGGATGAAACTAGGGTTGTGTCATAAAGATGCCTCAAAGAAAGAAATTAGAGGGACCTCATGCATTTTTGTCTCTACATAAGTATCAGGACACTTTCCCTTTTATGATGATTAGTACAGACGCATATGCTATGATAATGGTAGTGATCATGTTGAGCATGACACTCAAGGGTCTGCTAACCTCTAGAGATCACTACGAACAACTAAATTGACGATGATGGGCCAAGGTGGGGTGTGAATTGCGTGGGAATTCACACTTGCACATGTGGATTGTGTGTATGGAAGTCTATACATCTAAATTATTTCAGACGGGAGACCACCCCTAGGATTTTTTAATGATAGATCCCCAAAGCATTATTGCATGTATTTGCATTTTCACGACCCCTATAGTGGGTTCACTTAGTAAGTATTCTTTGAAATACTCGGGTCGTGTGCTACATCATTTTTTATGTAAAGGTAAGACGCCCATGTACGGTTGACGGTGACATCACAAAGTAGAGACCATGGCGTGCATAGGATAGAAGCATATTTAAATTCCTAAACTTAAGTTAGAATATGTTGTTTTACATTTCATATTTTTAAATTCTTTGTGTCGTTTTTAATTCCATTTTTGAATTATGTGTTAAATACATAAAATCATGGCAGTGTTTCAATGACGAAGTTTATTTTATTTCTCGAAATTTATTACTTAAATGATACATTTTAAGAGTTAGATTCCACATATGAGTTTAGACTAAGATGACAGTAACAACGTTAGGTAGCTGAAATCTAGGGTCGTTACATTTGATATCAGAGCTTTAGATTATAGATCTTGTAAACTAGCCTTCGATATAGGCTTGACATATTCTATGGTGCTAATGACGATGCCTCGTCACCATCAAGTATGCCTTGCATAAGATAAAACAAAAGAAATGCTTTTAAAATTGCATGCATTTTACTTTACGACATTACTGAACATGATGTGATGTTTTATATATTCAATTCAAAATACGAGGTTGAGTGTAGCATGTTAATCGAAGTATTACTAGCAATATCATACATTTTATCCTTAAATTTTTTCGAAATTTTAACTTTATCTATTAATTATTGTCAGCTCAATATGTCATTTTCTAATAATTAATTAAAAACATAGCTATTCCTTGCCCCCAAAAAAATAAATAATAATATTAATAATAAAATAAATAATAATAATAAAAAATATTCGTCCCAATATTTTAGATAAATTATAATAAAATTTCAAGATGACATTTAAATATAATTTAAGAAAATAAATATAAGAATAAGAACTTTCTAATTGAGAAAGAGAGATGCAGAGTGGGAAAGGTCCCTCGAATGGCGGCTATATCGACACGAGAGGAGACTCAGGTAGGGCCGCAACTTCCTTCCTCGACGCCCAACGATTTCTTGGGTCTCTCCATCTCTGTTTCCTCCAAGAACCCAGCACGCGCCTCGAACGCCGTCTTCTATTTCTTATATTCAATGTAAAATCCTCTGTTTTCCTTTATAATCACCGTCTTCTATATATCTCGATTATTTGTTGGTTTTGTAAAAGGGGAGCTTCTGGAATTCGATTTGATTGTTCATTGTTTCGTAGGTTTCAAGAATCTTGTGAATATTCTATTCTGTTCTGTGAATTTGATTCGTTTTTTTTGGTTTTGTTTCGTGGGTCGAAGAAACAGAACAATTTAGGGCGAAGTCGACTTTAGAAAACCCCGCTCCATTATCTTTTGTTGATTCTTCTATGTCGATATATTCTATTCAGGGTCAAGCTCTGGAAGTCATCGGTATGTCTGTTTAGTTCTGTTTTTGAAAATTGTGTATGATTATTGATCAATCTTTCCCTCCAAAATGAAATAGGAAGTTGATTTCGTTTATGTTATTTTGGGTCAGTTATTGGATGCACAAAGTTGAAAGATACGGAATGGATTTCAAGGCAGGATCCATATGTGTGCCTTGAATATGGTAGCACCAATTTCCGCACGACCACTTGTACAGGTTATGTTTTGGATTTTCCTTGTTGGTTGTGTTTAATTTGGTTAGATCTAAGGAGATGAACATGAACTGAATGTGAATTTGATTGGCATTGTATGCATAGATGGTGGCAGAAATCCTATATTCCAAGAGAAATTTGTGTTCTCTCTAATTGAAGGGATTAGAGAGATTAATGTTACTGTTTGGAATAGCAATACAGTTACTTATGATGACTTCATTGGCAATGGAAAGTAAGATTTATGTTCTTTCTTCCTTTTTGTTTGAACTTGTGTTCATGTTTTTCATTTGGGTATTGAGTTTTGAATGTTCTGTTTCGTAGAATTCAATTGGCTAAGGTTC